GTATACCATGGACTGCTACGTGAACAAATAGGTTCATCCTGGAGAGACTGAGACCAGGCTGCTCATCGGAGGCAAGGATTCTGAAGCTTCATCTGACATACTTTGGACATGTTGCAATGAGGGGCCAGTCCTTGGAGAGAGACATAATGCTTCGGAGGATGGAAGGACAGCACAGGAGAGGAAGACCCTCTATAAGATGGATTGACTCAGTGACTGGGGTAAATGCTGTAGGTGTGTCAGAGACAATAAGATTGACACAGGATAGAGCAGGGTTTAGGGTACATAGGGTTGCTATGTGTACATAGGGTCGCTATGAGTCACAGGTGACTTGACGACACATTACAACAACAACAATATTAATAAAGCAAAGCTTTTTTTGTTGTAGAAGTCTGATAACTTGGGTGTATCTATGGACATGTTAGTTTTTTACCATTTGATTCTTACTAAATATCTTGATTTCTAAGTTCTTGGGGATAATGTATCATTGCCCGTAAGGTATTGCCTGTAGGATCACCTCTATGAGGAGGAATGTGGCATCAGGATTGAAGGAAGACTCATCAACAACCTGCATTATGCAGATGACACAAACCTGCTTGCTGAAACAGAGGAGGATCTGAAGTGCTTCCTGTAGAAGGTCAAAGACTACAGCTTTCAATATGGATTGACGTGAACATCAAGAAAACAAAGATTCTCACCACAGGGCCGATTGGCATCAGATGGTGAAGAGATTGAGACCGTTAACAGCTTCAGTTTGCTTGGCTCACAATCAAGACTCTTGGTACCAGTAGCCAGGAAATAAAAAGATGAATAGTATTGGAAAAATTTGCTGTCAGGGACCTCTCCAGAGTACTAAAAAGCAATGATGTCAGTCTGGAGACTAAAGTGCACCTGATCCAGGCCATAGTCTTTATAATTACTTGCTATGCATCAGAAATGTAGGAAATGACTAGGGATGATAGAAAATTGACAACTTTGAGTTGTGGTGTTGGAGAAGAGTATTGAATATTCCATAGACTACTAGGAGAACAAACAGGTTCATTCTGGAGTGAATGAAACCAGGTATTTCCTTGGAGGTAAGGATTCTGAAGAGTCATCTGATATACTTCGGGCATGTTGCAAGGAGAGACCAGTCCTTGGAGAGGGACGTCATGGTTAGGAGGGTGAAGGAATAGCGCAAGAAAAGAAGACCCTCAAAGAGATGGATTGACTCAGTGACTGGGGTAATGGGAGTAGGTGTGTCAGAGGCAATGAGGTTGGCATAGGATAGAGCAGGGTTCAGAGCTGTTGTACATAGGGTCACTATGAGTAGCAAGTGACTCAATGATTTTTAACAACAATAATATCTCAATCTCCTAAGGCAATACATATGCAGAGAAAACAGGCTCTAGGATCACCTTATAACCTGGCCTTTATCTGAATCTCCTTCTGCTACTTAATTTGCGCAATAATGAGCAAATTGCTCTCTGAACTTCCATTTCTTCATTTGTAAAAAAATAAAAACAAAAACAACAGAGCAATAATATTTCTTGGTGAAAATCAGAGGCCAACACAGAATATTCGGGTGGCACTAACTTTCATCACAATTGACTGCTAACTGAAAGACTTAAGTCTACCCAGAGCACCTTGGAAGAATGTCCTGGCAGTCTATATCTGTAGAATTAGTCAATGAATATCCTGTGGAGTAAGGTTCTCTACTGATATACGTGGGAGTTAGAACTAACTTGACGACAACTGTAGTTCTTGTTATTTATGTCACTCATTCACTTACTCACTGCTGGCAAATCAGAACCCACTCAGAGCTGACTCTCCTGTGGATTTCTGAGGCTGTAAATGGCATGGGAGGAGTTTGACTATCTTTCTCTCGTGGAGCAGCTTGGTGGATTCACACTGCATTCCTTTAGGCTAGCAGCAAAACTCCTTGTACTCTAAGTCACCCGAGAACCCTACAAGTACATGTATAGAGATATAGAAAGAAGTCCAGGTGGCTTAATCCATAGCATATTGTATTGCAAACCTGCCAGTGTCTCAGCGGCAGAAAGACGGCCAATCTCTTCCTGTTTCAATTCACAACCTCAGAAATCTGATGGAGGGTAAGTTGGAACCAATTTGACAGGAGAGAAAGATAAGAGTTTACTTAACTGAAGTCGGAAGAGAAAATGATATGGAAGTACAACCAGAGTGCTCCTTTTAGGTAAGGATGGTGAAACTTCATCTCGCATTCTTGTTTAGGAGGGGCAAGTCCTTGGAAAAAGATGTAATGCTTGGAAAGGTGGAGGGACAGAGAAAGACTCCCAACAAGTTACTGCAGTGACTGCAACAATGGACTCGAGCATGCCTGAGATGATGGATGGTGAATATAGGGACTCGTGCAGATGTGTTGTTCATAGGGTTGTTATAAGTCACAGTTGACTCCAGGACATCTGACAAGAACAACATATAGTTTTCACTGTATGGAGCCCGATTCCGCATAGATTAAAGATGCTTGACAACCATGCAGGATGATTTTATTATTCCCATTTTCAAGATGAGTAGGTTGAGTCTCTGAACCAGTGCTCCAAGTCATATACCCAGAAAGTGACAACGTCCGTGACCATAAGGATGAAGACTAGATCCTGCATTAATTGGAGTAGGATGGCACTACTTGATCTTCCACTAGGGAAAATAGCCTTTTAAAAGGAAGTGAAGCTACCTTCTCACATGTAATATATGTGTAGCCCTCACAATACTGCCCTGTATGTTCATGATCTGTAATCTTTTAAAATCATTCCCCCTGCTCTCTCCATGAATGTGAATCTGTCTCTCTAGTGGATGGGGAGTTGGAACTGACTGGTGATTGAGCCTCCATTCTTTTTCTCTCAAGCAGCTGTTAGTGAATTCCAGCAACCAGAGAGGTAGAGTATAGCCCGTGGGACAGTAGCATAGTTCTCCACTGACCAGTATGTTGTCGTTGTTCATGTTCATCAAACCAGATTGGATTTATAGATGACCCTCCAGCCGATTTCAGGGGCAGGAGAGGAGATAGCTCATCTTTCTTGCCTGGAGCAGCATTTTTCAAGTTACCTGCGTTTGGTTTGGCAGAGGAATTCCCTGCTTACCAGGCCACCAGAGCTCCCTGAAGAATGAGGATAGACAATAACCTTGTACAGCTCATGCATATACATTATTATAATAAGTTCACCACTTATACTCATAAATGAATGCCATAAATTTCACCAACAGATAAAAAATAAACCAGATTTCCCTCAATCCTAGTAATTCCTTTTTAATTTCCCTTGGTAAATACAGGATCTTAAGTTGCGCTTCTGATTTGAAAGGTTCTCTGTAACGCAGAACCTTCCAAATACTGTCATTTCAAGTCCCACCTAGTCACAGGGAAAGGTGAGAGGATGCATGTGTTTCTTTTGTTATGTTACTTGTAGAATGTGGTTCCTCAACAGTGAATAAAGACCATGGTCTGTAATCATAACTAAGGCAGAAGTCCATCACACGGTTTAGCTGGGGGCAGTTTGGATCACTCAACGAAGCCCTAGTGGTGCAGTGATTAAATTGCTCCACTGCTAACTGAAAGGTCAGTGGGGTGGAACCCAACTACAGCAGAAGAAAGATGAGACTATTTGGATTCCATAAAGATGTACAGCTTCCAAAAAGTATGTGGCAGTTGTGTGACGTACAGAAGGGTCTCTATGGACAATGGGGTTTGGGCCACTTTAACCATTTAAGGTTAAGCAAATAATTGGTCAATTCTAAAAACCCGTGTTATGAGAGGCGTTCATCCTGAAGATAATAGGATTTTTTTTAATACATCCATCACAACATTTCAGTTTAGGAATACAATGTGGTGCCTGGACAGCAACCTTGCACCCACCATCACGCACCTTGGAATGAAAAGTGGTGAAACCGCTGTGAGCCCCACTACAGCTTGCCGGCCCCTTCCAGTCGGGCCTCCTAGTCTTGCTAGGATCTTTCTATTCTCTTCAACACACACTCAAATGGCCCCTTTCAATCAACTCTAAGCGGGAGTCACACCGCTGCTCTAATCTCTCCAGGTCGAGAGGAACGGGAGGGAATGTTGTCACGGGGACGCGCGCAAGGGGCACGCGCGGTCGGGGCGGAGACTGCGCTCAGCGGGGCGGCGGACGCTGCGCTCCCCTTTGTTCTGCTCCATTGTGGGCCGGCCTTCCTCGAGAGCTGCTTCTCTGCACCGTTGCAGCCTGGGGGGAAACCGGGGAGCAGGGGAAGGGGCTTCGGGGTGCTCCTATTCTCTTTATTTTTCATTATGTTGGGAGCTCCTTGGCAGTGCCTTTCCCTCTCGGTTCCTGGGGGCGGGTGGCGGAGCGGAAAGTGTCCCTTTCCCCCTAAAGGCTTCTCCAAGGTTCTGCCGCCCCACTCCTGGAGGCACCTGAACTCGGCACTCTGGATGTTCGCTTCCGGACCGCCCGCGTCAACGGGGCGACACGCGATCAGCCCCCTTCCGAGGGACATATGCTCCGGCTGCCAGGAGCTCCGCGGGCCACTGGGGCGAGGGCTAGAGCCGGCGCGGCGCCCGAGCCGGAGCCAGCCGCCTGGGCGTCCCGGGAGCCGGCGCGAGGTGGCCGAGCCCGCCCCGTCCCGGAGTTCGCGTTCCCCGGCCACAGAACGACCGCCTCAGCCCCCTTATATAGCCCTCTAAAAATAGCTCGCCTCGCACCGCCTTGTAAGGCAGCAGGGAGATCCACCGAGCACCAATCGGCGCTCGCTGTCAGGGCCAAGCCCCGCCTCAGGTCCCGATCCGTGCTCCCCATTGGTCCTCAGTGACTTCATGAGCCCCCTGTTTACCTTACATGGTCACACGCGGCCTAATGGACGCCCTCCTCCGAGATCCCACGGCTGCGCGGAGAGCCGGGCAGAGGGAGGGAGTTTGGGGAGGGGGAAGAGCAGGAGGGGGAGGAGAAAAGGGGGGGAGGAGACTACAAACTAGCAAGGATGGGGTAGGGGGTGGGGAGGGAAGGGACGGGTGGGGGGAGCGGCGATCGCGAGAAAAAAAAAATGCAACCTCCCAAAATAAAGAGCAAAGATTGCATTAGGAGCGAACAGCGCTGCAGAAATAGATGGCAGCTTCGTGTCAGTGAGTTTGCATCCCCCTTCCTGATCCACGAGCTGGAGTGATCAGAGCCCTGGAAGGGGATTGTTACTCCTGTGAAGTCCCCCTTTCCTGGCAGCCGACTGCACTGTGCACGCTGGACGCCTCTCTCCATCCACCCCACTCAGTCTCTCCTCTCTCACCTCCTCTCGCCCTCGCTCCTGCATTGATTTTTTTTCCTCCTTTTTAGTTGACTGAAACAAAACAAAACAAAAGGGCCGCTGGATGTCTGCCTTCTTGGGGGGTGAGCCAGACAGACTGACAAACAAACAGACCCGGCTGTGTTCGGGGGAGGGTTTCTCCTCCCGTTTTGCCCGGCGGCAGCAGTATGGACGTGTTGGCTAGTTATAGTATATTCCAGGAGCTACAACTTGTCCACGACACCGGCTACTTCTCAGCTTTGCCATCCCTGGAGGAGACGTGGCAGCAGGTGAATGATTTAAATTACTTGTGTAAATCGTGTGGTGGCGGCGGAGACGCAGGGGCTGTGCTGCCGTGGGTTTTGGGTTGTATTTCTCTCTCTCTCAGGATTTTTACCCCCCCCCCCCTTTTGACTGTTTGTTGTTGAAAATGTTTTCTGAAACAGTCATCTGCGCTTCGCTCTCCACCACGCTGGTCCCCTAGTGCGCGGAGCCGAGCAGCGGTCCGAGCTGCCTGCGTTCACTCACAGCACACATCCTTGCGCACACGTTGTAGGGCGCGCTGTTCCCCCAGCAGAGACCTGCTTAACTTCTGGGGTTCCGAGGGGCCGGGTGGGAAGCTGCCTTGGGGCTTTTTACCAGCGATCGCTGCCTGGAAACCACGTCCCTGCCTGCGTGAGCGCTACCCGCTAGACACCTGAAATCAGGTTCTTCTCTTTCAACTGGTGCCGACCGCTGTCAGATGTGGGGGAGGCTGGAGCAAAGCGGAGTTTACCCTGTAATGAGCGCGTGTCATTAAAGAATAGGAGTTTGATTTTGAGACTGGAAGATGGGCAGAAAGGAGAAGAGACCAGTGGCTAAAGATGCCCAGAGAAATCTACAAGGAGGTCAGGAAGACAGATCTGTCTGGGGCTGACGGCGCATTGTGGGTTTCCCCAGTCATGCCTTCGGGAAGAAACCACTCAGACTCTATGTCCTTGTTGGGGGTTTTTTTTTTTTGTTGTTGTTTGTTTGTTTGGGCTTCCTGGACCAGTGAGACAGCACAGCCTCGGGCGAAGGGATGCTTCTGACTTTGTCTTAGAGGACTAGTTAGGAAACTCTTAGGATGCTGAAGGGCACCGATGCTAAGTGTCTAGGCATTCCAGTGAGGGCGAAGCGGGGCTGGTGACAAGTTCCTTGGGCTGTGTGAAGTGGAATAAAGAAAAAGTGCTGGTCAGTGGAAAGTGCTGGCTCGGCTGAGGCTGCGGAAACCGTGGTTTTCTCAGCAACGATTAGGAGCTGCTGAGGGGACATTCTGCAAGAAAGATGGTGGGTGGGGGGATGGGGGTGGGGGAACATGGGTATTCTTTAGAAATTCTCCAGTGTGCGCCCTGGAAAGTCCAGGAAGACCTTCTGGATTTGCACATTGGAAGTGTGAACTTGGATGTCCGTCCTGGAGAAACCTGCTTGCCCTTGGGGAGGGCTGCTCCAGAGGCTTGCTGTGTGGCTGCTCCGGTAACTTCCCTGCTCCGTGACAGCAGCTTGTTAAGGCTAATGAACAGCTGAATTTCCTCTGCCAGGATCCAAAGCAGGATTTTGCCAGCTCGAGGCTACGATGTCACAGTTGCTGCTTTAGCTAGAAAGGGGTTTTTGGCTTGTGGTCTACAAGGAGCCAAGTGGCAAAGCATAGTCTCTGGTGTTACCTTTGTTACCCGTGGCTGGTCCCTCATTGCAAGCGACAAGTTCCCCTCCAGGTACCAGCCCCTGGTGTGGGGGAAGCTGGCGCATACCCCATTTGGTCTCTGTGGACATGCACACACTGTCCACACACACATTTTTAGCACAAAGCGTTTTCTTCACTACCTCCCCCCCCCCCCTTAACGAGTCCGTAGATCATGGAAAGGATCTCACTGGGTGCCTGCCCTCTTGTTATATTCCTCGTGCTTATTCAACCCAACGGCTGTCAGAATTTCATCTGCAGAGATAGCCATCACTGCACACCCTGAACCCCCTGGAGTTGAAGGGTTGCATTTTAACAAAGGTCTAGGCAGGGTAGGGAAGGGAATCTGTTGATTTAGTCACCCTGCCTAAGGCAGCCCCCTATTTGTGACTAACTGTTGGAACAGTGGTGGAGGAAAGAAAAGTTGGCTTTATTGGTTACAACGTTCCCTCCTGATGAATCACACAACTTTGTTTTCGTTCAAATCTTAGTTAGTAGTAAAGCCTGCTTTAGGAAAAGACCTCTCCAGAGGAAATCTGCTCTTCTAGACCACCCCCACCCCCACCCCCACCATCCAGGAGCGCTCTAGATCCCTAAAGAAGCATCATTGGCTTGCCAATTAGAGGAGGTAGTAGATCTATTGTTTCCTCACATGTTCTCTGCTTTTCCTCTTCCCCTCCCTCCCACCCCCTTCAAGGAAGCTTAGCTTCTGTCTGCAGGCAAACGCATTCGCTAACTCACCTTCCCTCCCCTCACTGGTTCCTTCATCTTACCTCTCCAACTGCTGACCAGCCTCACCTTAAACCCTTCTGCTAAGTAAATTCAGAAGCATGCTCTTTCCCCTAGTGAAACACAACTCCTGGGGAAACATTGTTAAATAAGCTATTACTGCAAGGAGCTTTCTGCTCTAGCCTCTAGTTACAACTGTGTTGTATAAAGTTGACCATGACCTTCAGCTCATGGAGATGATCAGACCTTCAGCATCTATCTTTTCCTCTCTCCTCCATGCACCCCAGCCCCATCCTGTTACTTCTTCCTCCTGTAACAAGGGGGTTGTGGTGGTTAGATGCAACTGTCCCTTCCACATCAGCCATCAGATGGTGAAATCTCAAGGAGGTTGCCACAAAGAACCCCACGCAGGGGGAAGCTGCCTGATGCTGTGGTAATCACATTTTAGAGGTCAACTGGAGAGCAATTATTTGATGTTCTTTCTTCAAGTCAACCTTAAAGAGATGAGCAACATATGATTCCAACAATCTGATTTTGTTACTAGAGAAAGAGGAGTTCCTCTGGCAAATCCATTGATATTGGTGTGCGTGAAAATTGTTGATGGACTCCAATAATCTGGGGGTTTTATTTTAAACTTGGGCTTTCGGATAATCACACAGCTTAATAGTTATTGAGCCTATGATGGCCCTCAGGTCTTGGGGATGATCATTTTGACAATGGGATTTCAAGCAGCAATATCTTAGCCACATACAGCTCTCCAGCTCTTGGGGGGGGGGGAATCATTGCCTGTGTAATTTTCAAACCCAGATGGACATCTTGCATTAACAGCGCTCCATTCCTGGGCTCTGACTGCATACTTAAGCACTTGGCCCAAGTAACATCATCTCTGCCTGTCATAGAACTGTAAATTACACTGTGCTTATGTGGTCTATTATTTTATGGAATTCAGCTGACGCACAACTCTTAAGACTACCAGCCATAAGCTCTTTGGAAACTTGCAGGAAGGTTTCCAAGAGCTGTTTGAGCAAAAGCAAGGAAAAGTCAAAGGGAGGACAAAAGCTTGTTGGGTACCATTTGATGATGGAGAACACGACACCTATTCATGACTCTTGTTGCCCATCAGTGACTTCTCTGTGCCTCCTGCTAACTTTGGAAAGAAAAAAAGCTCTGCCAAGTTCTTCCAGAACTTGCAAGGATTTTTAGAACCTTGCTATGTCCCTTTCACCTAGGCCACTACTTGACATAGGTGGCAGATCAGGTGCAGAGGTGGCCTGACTCATGGGTGGATTTGATTTTGCTTCGTGCTAGTGAGGAGCATGGCATGCTTCCTTGAAAAATTCTTTTGGGAATTATGTTTGTTATTAATGCTGATTCATAATTGGCAGATGGGGTCAGTTTCAGGCCTCTCTTATGCTGGGAGAAAATTTTCCATTGCTACTGGAAACAAATAAATAAATCATAGAGCATCCCTCCCTCCTCCCCCACTCCCCCATTGTTTTAAACTAATGGCATACTTGGCTACTGTAAAGACTATAGTGTCCTCGTAATGCTGCAATTTCATCTGGCTTTCAGGCATCCTCAGACACTTTTTACAAGGGCCTTTGGTACCAAGTGTCTCCTGGGGACCACCAGCAACTATGGTTTGTCTTCCAAGAAGAACCTCCTGGTACTGGGTCGGAATGGGATATGGCCCGGCTCATGCCTTTGCCATGCCTTTCACAGGAGCTGGCCGTCAGATGCTGTCATAACCAGGGAGACAAAAGCCAACTGGTGCCAGTCCATCCGCAGGTTTGTCCCCAATTTGCAGAAAACCTTGTCATGAATTAGAAATTCTTGGCAACAGCACCACCCAGGGAAATTTGTAGACACAAAGGAGCCTTGCTAACCACACTGCAAGGATAAAATAGCTGGCATTTTTTTTAAAATGTAATTTGTGTGCTCCTCAGTTCCCATAAGTCTGTTTCTTCCTTCAAAACAGGGACTTGGTAGATGGGGGGAGGAAATTAGAACTCCCTCGTTATTTGGATTTTTCTTTAGAAGGCTGCAATCGCTACGCAAATGTCTCTAAGAATGAAAGCACATGGGAAGGCAGTCAATCACACACTTAGCCTTCCCTTCACAGATGCATTTCCACCTTTAAATAGACGTGGCTTTGTGTCGGTTTAAAGAGCTCTCCCATGTTGGCCTTCTGTCTACCTGTTTGCCATTTGGTATTTTAAAAGTGGAGTTTGTTACAATGAAAACATTTCTGTACATCTGTCCTTATTGGAGGAGGGAAGAAGAAGGAAGTTACCATTCTTTGTTCTCTATGAAACTCCCACCCCCACTCCCTACCCAGAGGAGAATGAGATGTTGAGGTCCAATCCATTTAAAGGGCAGAGCAGAAGAGACATTGTGACAGCCTTACCCTGAAATGATTTATGTGTGGTATGTCAGAGCCCTTCTGTGGCTTTCTTGTCCCCCAGCCCATTCTAAATATAAATGCCAGTGAGGTTTATATATGTCTTCACTTATTGAGGACAGTTTAGATAGAGAGTCCTAATAGGGCTTTTAGAAGCTGTAAGCCTATGCATCCGCAGATCTTCCTCTCGTAGGATAATCCTTGTGTTTTAACTTTTTGAGTCAGAGCGGCATTGCAGTCTCACTTTAATCACTCCCATCCCTACTTGGAAAAGAGTCCACTGGCCAGTCTCAACTGGCTCTTCCTTCCGAGAATGCTGCTCTGACAGCAGCCCTGTCTCTGGAGTCACATGTGAAGTGACTGGTTTTGGACTCCACCACTGGTGAGTGCAGAGCTAGCCCTGAGATGCTGGTTTACTCAGTGCCTCCGTTAGCGTGGATGCTGGGATGGAGATTTGCTGA